TAACAAATGAATGAAAGATGAATAATATATAATAATAATAAATGAATAAAAGATTAATAGTAAATGAACAAGAATTCATATTATTATATTCAACGATTAAATAATAAATACATAAGTAATAAAATATGATTTTTATGAATATTTATTCACGTAATACGTAGTAATGTTTTCGATTTGAGAAAATGGATTTAGAAAAAAATCTTTATATGATTAAATATACAAAAATAGTTATAAGAGAAAATGATTAAATCAATAATAGATTTTTTATTTATAACATGCAATTAGTTATCTGCAGGATTTTTCATGCAGAGTCCGTGATCCTTATCAATTTTATCGATTGCTATATTTCAATTTGAGGAGTGTAAATGCAAGCAAATAATCTGCATGATGAAATTGGTATGCCCCATTGAAGATACGCATTCCATAATTCCAATAACCCACGTAATCATCGATTATTCGAATTTCCTGATGGCATATAATTAGTCAGCTGTCTATGTAAGTTTCTACTCCGGATATATCTTACAAGTTACTATCAATTTTGATCACTGAATAATTGAAAGAAATCATTTGTGTTGTAATTGTTTTAATTGAGCTTTTTAAAAATTGAATTAATTAAAAATATAGGATCTAAAGAACATTAATTTTGGGATTAACATTTATATATTAATATATTAATATTAATCATGATTTTATATTTTGTTAATACTTTCATGGTTTTACATTTTTGAAATCTTTTATTAATATTTTTAATAATAACATCATATACTTAATAATTAATGTAAATTAATAGAATATAAATTAGTTTTCTAATTAATATTTAATTCTTTAAATAAAAAATTTCTCAGTAACAGTTTTCAATAAGTATTTTCAATAAGAATTTTGATTTCTTTAAATTCTTAGAATTATAATTTATTTATTTAAATATATTTATTTATTTATATTAATTGATTATTTGATAATAAATCTATATTATAAATACCATAAGATAAGATACGAATAAAATACGTATATGGATTTTCCCAAGAATGGGTCATTTAGAAAAATATTTACTATTGGAATTAAATTTATTATTTTTTTCAATATTGGCGAATCATTTTTTTCGAGAAATAAATCCTTAAAATGTGGACTCATGTTATCGTAAATTTTGCTATACTGTCAATTGAACAAACAAGATATCATCATTCAATAAAAGATATAACTATCCATGAATGAATAGTTTTCTTGGAGAATCTATTTTTGGAATTTTGGTTGATAGTACACGTTAATAATGACATATTAAAAACGAAAAGATTATCAATTAACTTTTATTGCATGATATTTTTATTCGAAAAGAAAAGAATATGTATTTTTTCTGAATGTTTGGTATTCATAAATGAAATAATATTATGGGTTTTGCAAGAATTTTTTATAGAAAATATAAAAATAATATTACTAAAATATCGGGATAAAAAAATAATAATAAATATTTAATATTCTTATTATTACATTGTTTATTTACAAAAAAAATAGTAAAACAAAAAGATAAATATTATTATATTATTCTTTTTTATTTTTAGAAATTATATAGAAAATATAATCATAATGGCATGATTTACTTTCTGCATAAAAGTTATTATATATAAAGTTATATTTTTAATTTTTAAAATATATCTATATAATTATAAATATAACTATTTATAATTATATTTTAATTTAATTTTTATAATTAACTCAGTTTTTCATAAAATGCAAGATATCAACTTTTATTTTTATTTAATTACTTTTAGATTACTTTTAAATGTCTCCATTTTGAATAGAACAATTATTTTTATATTTATTTATATTAAAATATTTAATTTTTTTCCTTTGACTTATTATCAATTTCCTTTCTTCAATTTTTTTTAACATTATATCAATTATTTATATCAAAATATCAATTCAAATTTGCATTCGTATTTTTTTTCCAATAATTTGTCATTTTCAGAAAAAATCAAATAAATCACTAATTTCAAAATTATACTCTCCATTTATTATTTCCATCAAAACAAAATATTCTTAAGTTATGAAGAAATTTAGGAAATCCCAGGAGATAAATTTAATTCGAATTTCCTGATTATTGATAATCATTATTTAGATCAACACATATCTCTGGAATGAAACCTGATGACTTCACTTTCGTACAATGAACTATCAATTTTATGAAACTATATTTATAAGTATATGTACTACACGTAGGCGAATATAGCATGAGAAGACGGCAGAGACGAACCTAGTAAATACAACGGAATACAACGAAGGCCGATTCAATCAGTCGTGTCGTAGCTGCTGATCGATTCACACGTGTCGTATCACGATTCTTTTCGCCGACAAGGACGAGATCTCTATAATTTTATCAAACGACACAACATTTTATTCTCTCGAATATTTTATTCAATTACGTTATATATATTAATAATACTGATGAAATTGTGAAAAGAATCCATATTGACGATTTGATTGTATGTAAATCGGCGAAGACAAGTTGAAGACAACAATCGAATATCAGTTGAAAAAGAAAAGGACGTGACATTTAAAAGGAGCAAACGGATTTAGAAAACATTTGGAAAGGTATGTAAGAGGAAAAAGATTTTATTTCGAAGAAAAATATTTTAAAAAAGAATTTTTTTGAAAAAAATTTCGAAGAAAACATGAAATTATAAAGAGTTTGAAACTTGAGATTTGTAAAGAAATCATTAATATTAGATATTTTTTCAAAGTTTTAAATCTGGATCGATTTTCTAATTAGTTTCAAAACAGAAGCTAAATTGATTAATTTTATTAATTAATTAAGTGATTAATTCTTTTATATATATTTTATATTTTAGATATATTATATTTTATTATATTTTAGATATATTTATTATCGATATATTAATTAATTTAATTTCATTTCAATGCTAAAATTAAGACCTTTTTATTTCCATTTTTTTTTTCAAATAATTTCTTCATTAAAATTGCAAAAGTTTTTAGCTATTTACTTGATATTTTATCTGAATTTAATATTATATTAAAAAATCATACAAATATTTCGACTATTCATAATCAAATTATAAATATCTTTATCATAAATATTGTTAGTATCATAATTGATGAACTATTGACGTCAAAATAAACTTTTATTATATTAGTATTATTATAATGATATTCGTTCATCAAATTTAAGAAACGAAATTTTATATGCATAAAAATCTAAAATAAAATTATGTAACCTAAGCTATAGTTCTTTGATAATTCTTCATAGAATTCTTTATTATATCTTGCTTTTCTTTAAGATCAAATATAATTTCATTCTTCTTATATTTATAAACAAATTTAAAAATCTGATATAATATAAAATATGTAAAAATGATA